AAATTGTTTAAAATAGGAATTAATTGTTGTGCAATTGTGAAAGAGAAAACCAATTTAGGACCAACAACAATTAATTTAGGTGTCACTCCTTTAAAGAATGCACTTGTGCCTAAAATAATGATAATAATAATATTATTAAAATTATTTTTTACCTTCAAAAAAAAAAAAATTTTTTTTCTTTTTAATTTTAAATTACTACCTTCTTTGAGTATCATTTTGCGAATAATTTGTGTCCCAGTTTCAGGTGAATCAAAAGGTCTATTTTGGATACGTGTTTTAACTACATCAAGTGGTTGAGCCACACTGATAGAAGCTATAGCACCACCAATTGATGCACAGAAATTTTGAAGAAATGTTGCTTTAGAGTAATCTTTTAATCCAAACAAATATTCTTTAACAAAAGCTGATCCACCAAACTAGCATTAATAATGATGATTATTATAAATTTTTAATTAGTTACTGCTATTATTAATATTTGTATTGTAATAATAATGATATATAATAATGTCATTATGAAATAGCTTTCTTACTAATGCAAAACTTCCTGGTGCATTACGTGCTGCTGTCCAAAGACCACCTCTGAATACATGTGTTTTATAAATCAATTATTATTATAGAGTTCTTCTTTGGTCATGTATAATTAGTCATTTATATAAGTGGGTGATTACCTATAAAGTCCAAACCCTTCATCCCAAAAAATTTTGAAAATATTTCTATTTTTTAACGTTTCAGGATTTGTTTGACGTTTAATTTTCAATACATCCAATGGTAAAAGTGCCACCTCTCCAATGCCAATTAAACTATCATTATAATTAATTAATTTGGAATTGTTTTAAAATTAAATTCATCCTGCTAATCACATTGTGCCATCCATTCCAAATATATTTACCTTCCAGCAGTGGCATGTATTATAGTCTTACCACTTTTTTCACCAAATAATTTATAGAATGCATCTTTATGATTTTTGTTGATATAATCTTTTACATATGGTTGACCACCATATTTATAGATCCTTTGAAGTACTTTGTATCCACCTGCATAACCTAGCCCTGGAAATAATGATGTGTATTTACGGAAAAAAGTTGCAGAATGCTTATCCTATAATAGTAATATTATTTATTCATTGGGGGAATTTTTCTTTGTACAGAAAAAAAAAATTTCCAAGAAAAATAAGAGATTTTTACTTTAAATATGGCTTCCCCTAAATTATTAAAACTCTGGGATAATGGTGCACCAGGTACAAAAACCTAATAAACAAACAATTAGTTAATTGAATTAATTATATTCTATAATTTCTTCCCCATAAAAAGTCCAAATATTTACTTTTTGTTGATTAGTCATTAAACGTTTTGCAATAGTATCAACAGGATGAAATATAAATAATTCTAATATTCCTGAAGTTCCAGAACCTAATAAACGAGCAAGTCCTGACTCCTTTTGTTTTCCTGAGCTAGCTGGTGGTGACATTATTTATTTATAAATTTAAATGTTGAAAAAAAAAATTAAATTTTTTTTTGTTTTTTTTTAAAAAAAAATTTCTTCGAAGATTGTACTATGTTAAACTTGAATATTTGATCAAAGATTTTAATACATAGATTATGATTATCTGCAACAAAACCAAACAAACATTATTTATTATTTATTATTATTATTATATACATATCACAAAGAAATTTCGGGGATCAAATAATTATCGTTATCATTATTATTATCGTTCAAATGACTTGTGTTACATACATTTTTAAGAAATTCTTTCGCGTTTCAATTATACACTCCCCTACAAATATCCGACCACCTGATGATCATTTTAATAATCGGAAATGTTACGCCTTATGCAGTTCAAAATTTTATTAATCAAAACCGGGTCTGGTGCATTAAGTAAACATATTTTTAAAAGTTAATTTGCATATAAACTTAAAGTCTTGTCGAGTTTGCATTATTAATGAATTTGGGATGAAAACTTTAAACTAGACAAAAAATTCCGTGATTTTTATGAAAACTTTGAGCTTAGTAAAAACCTTCAAAATTCCGTTGAACCATGGATTACGTCATTAAGTAAGTCCATTTAAAATATCTTGAATTGTATATGGTTAAAATTCGAGAAAATTCGATCAAGTGTAGACAACAAAACGTAAAGCCTTAAAATTTGCATTTTGTCAACTTTATTGTGTTTATATAATAAAATTACGGGTGGTCGGGATACTTTTTTAAACCTTTTCACGAACTAATTTATGCCAACACCATATTGTGGGTCTGATTCATTTCGTTGACAATCATTTCGTTGACGGTCATTTCGTCGACACCCATTTTGTCGAAAGTCACAAAAAAAAAACTTCATTAAACAAATTTCTCCTCACACTTCCCACACACCTCGCTTTCCTCACCTAATTTCTTAACTAACTTCCCACACACCTCGCTTTCCTCACCTAATTTCTTAACTAACTTCCCACACTCCTCACATCTAATTCGTTCGGTCTCTGGCTCGAGGATGAAATAATTATCGACGAAATGAACATTCGACGAAATGAACATTCGATGAAACAAACTTTCGACGAAATGGGTGTCGACGAAATGATTGTCGACGAAGTAAACGCGACCAATCAATATTATAAAAAAACCAAATCTTTGTCTGTTGTAAAAAACCGGTTTGAACTCGGTTTTTGAACCAGTTTTCAGTTCATGCTCAGTTTGATTTGGGTTTGTTTTTTGAACCGGTTCGAATATCGGTTAGGTCATTTATATCATATGCAAGTATTTAACAAAATGTAACATGATGTATTTATTATAAATGCAACTAATTTCAAGATGAAAAATCTATATGTTGAAAAATTTCTATACATTAATCTCCTACTTTATTGATTATCCAGCTCTTCATACATAAACACGCTCTTGCAGTTTCTGGCAACAAACTATTACACATTTTATTAATTGTATTTCCAGCAACTGATAATGCATGTTCTGATGAAACATTAGTTGCTTGAATTGTAAGATAATCCCATGCCATATTACTTACAATCAAGCATATGCTTGCCACCATAAGAGAGGATCTGTCTCTTTGTCTCTTTCCAATACAAGATAATGGTTTACTCTGACACTGCAGGTATTGGGGGGTTGTAAATGTTGAAGTTCGTGGACAACTTGTCCAAGTTGCATGAAATATTGACAACTTATATTTATTGTAGATGTTGATGTTCTTCTTATAGGAGATGATAATTTTTGGTAACTAGTAAGTGCTAACAACAATCAGTAAACATTACAGTGAACCCTCCATAAGTACACCTCACTCGGGAATGTGTGAATTTGAAATCTGCGTCAATTTGTAATTCATGCGTGAAATCAAATTAGCCAATCAGAATTTAATGAATTTCAAATTGATTTTCACGTGATAGGAATAAAAAATTGATTCATTGTAATCAACTTGTTGTTTTTAGGATTTTCTTGTTGTAGTAAAATATTCTATTCCATCCACTTCACCAGAAACTAATGATAATAAACATTTTTAAAATATTTTGCATTCCTCCGCAAATTTTATACAGTCAATCCTCGTTTCAACGAATTATAATTAAATTCGCGTTACAATGAATTTTTAAATGCAATTTTCTTATTATCGTGTCTCATAGATTCGTTGAAACGAGGTTTATGCATATATTTCAGAATTTTTATTAGAAGTACAAATATTGTTAAAACGTGGAATCTTTGTCTGTCATAAAATTATTGATGATTCATCTAAAATTCAAATATTTATTATTATTAGTTTATTATTATTTTACTTCTATAATTATTCAATTATTTTCAGTGGTCTACAAAATTGTGATTTTATAAAATACTCTTACCACAGAACTGGGAAGATTCTATTGTATGTGACTGCCAAATTAAGCAACTCGAATCTTGGTTTTTTACTAATTAAAATACTTAAAAAATAAAAAATAGCATATTTGGATACTAAACATAGCAATTTTCAATATTCTTTATATAAAATAACTATGCCATTTGATTAAAAGAATATGATGGATTTTTAGTGTATTTAAACGTTAAAAAGGAATAAGAAAATTTTCGAAACTTTAAGTGTTACAGTCTATTCATTGTCTGATCTCATAGACACTGTTACAGCCAACATTCTGAGCAGTAGTGGCTTTACAAATGATAGCAAAGGTTGTGCTGATGAATTATATTGCATTAATAATTGATGCACGTCAAAGTTATTCAATATTCGTGGATGTAACATATCGTAGTTGGCACAACACTTTAATAGCATTAGGATACATTTATTTTCAGGTTAGTGTTTTGAATAAGGATATACTTTTTTGTCACTTGTCCCAAATTATCACAATATTGATTCATGTGGTTTCATGAAATTAAAACGCTTGTTGCAATCCAAATCATTATGGAAGACCGCTATCACTTATGGCTAAACAAGCTTCCTGAGAATAGCAAAGTAAAATTCTTATTGATTGTTGATAACTCTGTTAATATTGACATCAAGAAGGCACCCAAAAAAAAACTGTATGATGAATATGAAGTGAGTGAGTGACGTTCAATGACGCCAGATCTCTTCCAATTTTGGCCAAGTTTATACCTCACTCATCATATGTAGGTCAGTCTCAAAACTTGGCCAAAAATGTTCTACATGAGGAGTTACATATAGTAGTGACATTAACTCAAAGTTGCTTTTTTCACAACATGGTCCGTTTCTATTGATAGGCAATATATTATTACAAAGTTCATCTCTCCGGCATTAAGTATCAACAAATAAATTATATCGATTATGAAGGTGAATTGGCGTGAACGAGTCCTAAAAGCCCATCCATTCTAAATTGTTGCACTGTAAATAAATAGACTTTGTATATTTTTATTGTTTATCTATCTAAATGAATTTAAGTTTTACAACTTTTTTTTAAAATGTTAAAAAAAATAATTTTATTATTATAAAGTTCTAAATTAAAAAAAAAAGACATTAAATTAATTTTCTATTTTTTTGTTAAAAAATAAATATATAATAATTATGCAAGTGTCATCCATTTCCTTCCGCTTTCACCAAAACCAATATTAAGTCCCATTGATGTTAATCTAGCTCTAGCTTTATCGTGGAAATTTCTTTCATTACTACCAGTTTCTGCAGATGCGCCCAGCAGACTATCAATACCAGCTGATTTGAAATCAGTGCGCATTTGAAGGTAGGGAATAACATATCTAATCTCAAGTTTGGCAAGGTAACCTTCATTAAGAACTGATTTAAGTATCTCAGGCTTTACGACAAACAAGTTTCCTAATTGATGCAATAACTCAAATCGCTCATCTAATTGAGGAATTTTGAAAGATGCAAAGGTTTCTTGATATTTGGTAATATCCCTGAAAATTTTATATTTGTATATACAAATATATATATGTACGATCAATCACATACATTTATATATGAACAAATAGATAATTAGAAATTAATACATACTTTGACAAGATAAGACATCCAGTGGGACTGACAGTGAATTTTTTGAAATGATCTAATAACATGCTAAAAAAAGAATATTTACATATTTTTTTAATAAAAAAAAATGCAAATCAAATTATATAAATTTTTCATTATTACAATTACCTGTGAAACAAAATTCCTACTTCGGTCAAAAAATTTTCAAAATTCTTGCCGTCAAGATATTTGTTCATATTTACATTAACTTTTTTAATATACTCTACACAATTATTACAAGGCTAAAATTTCCAAATTTTCAATTTAATGAAAGCCAAGTTTTTCTTGATAATTAAATAATAAATTAAAAAAAAAAATACCATAGTTGCAATATTTGTTATAAGATCTTCTTCATCTTTTGGTTTAAAATCAGCTCTTTTTTGACGAGATAAGAAAAAAGACAATCTTGCAATTATAGCTATATTTTTAATTTAATAATATAATGATGGTGAAATCATTGAAAGAAGTAGAGATAGAATAAATAACTGAGAAGAGCAAATCATCAAATTAAAAAAAAATACCATCTATCATTTTTTGAACAGCAGAATTCATTTTATTTTCTACTCCCATCATAAACTTATTCTTATCAGATGTGATTTCACGATGAATTGCTAACGAAGGAGACGCTAAAGGCAACTAAAAATAATAAATATTTATTTACTACTTAATATTATATATATATTAATCACAATTAAAATATGGAAACTTACGATTACTGCTTGGAAATGATTTTGTTCCAAGTGTATGATATCTCTTGCCACCTTTACAACAGCGAAGACGCTAAAATCTGTTTCACTTTTTGAATCCATTGCAGCCATAAGCTCTAAACATCTTTTTTTTTTTAAAATACATAATATTGTCATCATCATTATCATTATCATTATTTAATTTGAATCACTATATAAAAAAGAAAAAATAATTACGATTCTAAAGCCACATCCACATATTGTCTTCCAATAAAATCTAACAAGACATTAAACAAAGCACTAGCTATTTTTGGACTACATTTTTTAATAAATAAATAAATAAAAAACACATTTATTAGCGAAAATCAAATATTCTATTGCTACTAAGGATTAACAAAATAGGATAAGAGATGATAAATACAGTTCAGATGGAGGACACAATTTTACAGAACGTTTACTTGCTTCTGCATGAATTTTAAGCATAAGTGTAGCAGTGTCTACTCCTAAATTTCCATCATCATCAGTTACTGGAATTTCCATTAGATTGGCTCCACCAAATTGATTAGGATTTGATGACGATGTTATTTGATTAACTGCACGTTGAAATAAACTTCCACTTCTTGCATGTTTTTGTTGTGCCTAAAACAACGAAAACAAAAATGATAATGATAAATAATGATGATGATAATTAGTCAAGAATATTAGAAAAACTTACATGATAGGCAGTAAATTTAAGAAGCAAGGAAGAATACAATTCCATAAGAGATCTTTTTTCTTTCTCCAGGTAACGTTCACCTTCAGTATATGGAACAAACAAATCTTCAATACATTGATCCAATACTTCTGCTATTGTATTATTCTTTTTTGTGTCTTCCTCATTTTTAGTATTTACATTATCTTTGGTACTTCCTTCTTGACGTATTTCTACACTTTTTAAACTCGTAACTAGATCTGTGGTTGCTGCACGAACAGCTGCCAATGATCTTAAGTAAGCCAAAGTTGAATTATTTTCAGCATGCGATAAAAGACTTTCTAAATAAGTTTGTATCTAATTTTATATATATACATGGATATTATTAATTATAATATTAAATAATAATCATTCCGAATACACATTTAAAAATAGATATATGTATATACCAATTGAGCAAAAATACGTTGCAGAAAAACTTGCATCACGCCAATTGGATTTGGAAAAACAGCATTGATATTAATAGCTTCTTTTATCACGGTATTTTTAATCTCTTCATAAAATACAATGAGCCCTTGATCGATAGGAGGAGGAGGAATTCGAGGATTTGGTAGATCATCCCAACTTCCAAAATACACAAACTATGTATTTGTTAATGTTGTCAAAACTATTTGATTTTTTTAAAACAATTAAATGTATTCTATAACAGATTTTTTTACCCTGGACTAGAAAGAAACTCTTTTTTTTCACCAACGTTGATTTTTGTTATAAAAAATTGATGTTGATTTACATATAATTTTACACATGATTCACAACCATTGAATTCTTGCAACGTTTTTGCATAATGCTAATTAAAAATATATGCACAGTGGTTATTATATAAATTAAAATCAATTTTATAGATCAGATATTTAAGAAATAAGCTAACCTGCATGGTTTTTAAATTTCGTTCTTTATACGCTCTATCAAATTGTTCAAGCAACTCTTTTTCTAAAATTTCACAATATTTCTCAATACGTTCTCTTGCCTAATATAAACATTAAATTATTATTATTATTATATTATTATTATTTAATTCAGCAAAATAAAATTATAATAGATTTCATGTTGGTTGGTGATAATTTACAGCTTCAGCGCCAGGAATGTCAACATCTTTTGCAATGGCATTTAATCTTCTAGCAATAACTGCAGCCTAGTTTTTTAAAAAACGTTATTTTTATTTTAATAAGTATTCACGATAGAACACACACACAAAAGTGTATAATTCTTCAAACCTTTAATTGTCCATCTTTTCCGCCATATGTACGAAGATTTTCTAATTTTTCAATGTCACCACGATTAAAAGCCATAAAATATTCAATGAGATCCTTTGATTCGGATGCACGAAGTCTTTGTTTATCAATTATTTCCAATTGTTCGCCGATTCTTATAGCAGTGTTACCAACTTCGTTAATTCTAGTTTCTAATGATTCAAAAGAATGTACAACATCCTACATAAATAAATAATCTATTAAAAAATTACTTTGTTTAAAAAAAATTTGTGAGTGGTCAAATTTTATTTACATACTTCAAAAGCTGTTTTTAATTCAAGTAATTTTTTACGATGTCCATCTTCCGTTAATTGCACAGTTGCCTCGAATACCTTACTTTCTTCTTGTACACTTTCACGAAGCTTTAACAATTCATCGATTGATCTTTCAAAAGTTCTTATAAATGGTTTTGGATCAAATGCTTTTTTTTATAATAAAATTTAGTTTTTAAAAGAAAAAAACCTTGAAACGTAGAAAATAAATATAAAACTTACTTTTTGGATTGGCATGTTTTAACAGATTTGTAGAAGTTTTTTCTACGAAATCATGAGTTGTAAACTTTCCTTGCTATATGGTTCAAGAAAATAATAAAAAATTGAAAACATTTTAATCTTTTTACGTGACATGAAACCTTAAATCTGATGTCAATTAATATACATAATTTTTTTCTTACGGACTTGAAAAGTTTCTATTTTTAGAATAGATTTAACTTCTGGATCTAAATCATAAGGATTAGCTTTTCTAATATCACTTTTTTGCATTCTTTATATATATATATATATATAAGTATTTGTATCTTTAAAAAGAGATATAAAGTGAATTTACACGAACAAAAAAATAGAAAGAATATTATTGGTCAAATTATGTATGTTTAAAGTTTTTGGGGTCATATAAGCCACCACACAATAATAAAATTAAAAAAATAGTATATATATATATATATAATAAATAACTCTTTAGTTTGCGATTCATTAAAATTATGGTACGTGTTAAACTAATAATAATAGTGATAACAATCTCATTAAGACTGGGTTTTTAAATTTTCTAAAATAAAAAATGATGATAATTTCAAAAAAAAGGAAGAATCGACTGCACGTTTATTATCTGATGCACCTTTAGAACCAGATGTTGAAATAGGAATTAATGATGGACAAAAAACAAACGTTAGAGGGAACACAAGCTCTTCACAAACCAATAACACATCATCAACATCAACACCTGCAGCACCAACTCAGAGTATCTGGGATCAATCTAGGTACGTGCTATTAACAAAACATATTTCCGGTTATAAAACTATATATATATAAATTTTTGTTTTTTTTTTTTTTGTAGCCATCCAATTGCATTATTTTTTCACCTTTTCTTTCGTGGATTAGCAATAATCATATATCTTTTTGGAACTTATTTTGTCGATAATTTCCCATTAATATTTATTCTTTGCGTATTATGTTTATCATTTGATTTTTGGACAGTTAAAAATGTAACTGGTAGATTGTTGGTAGGATTAAGATGGTGGAATGATATTCAAGAGGATGGATCAAACATGTGGATGTTTGAAAGTCGTGATGTAGGAAAACAAAATATTATTATGATGAGTTTTGTGTGAATATATAGCATATTTGATTAATTATATACATAATATTTATTTGTTTAGCCATCAAGACCAGTTAATCCAACGGATTCTCGTATATTTTGGATTTCACTTTATGCAACAATAGTGATATGGATATTTTTTGGATTTTTTGCATTATTAAAACAATGGTTCTTAATTGTACTAGTAGCATTATCATTAAATATAGCAAATGCAATTGGTTATACTCAATGTGACAAAGATGCAAAAAAGAAATGGGCAAGTAATTTGGCATCTAGGGCAGCATCAGAAAGTCCAGGTCTTGTAGGAAGATTATTCACTGCAGGCATAGGAAAATATTTTGGATAAAGAAGATAATAATAACAATAATAATTAATTAATTAAAACTTGTATATTATTGTCATTAAAATTGTATCAAAATTTTTAATAAATCATTAATCATTCATTATTATTATTTTTATGTAGTTATAATATATTTTTTTTTTAATATAATAGAAGAGGGAAAGAACAATCAATTCAACCAAATAATTTAATAATAATATTTTATTTTTCACTTATAAATAAATTATAATACGATTCTAAATAATTTTAAGATTTCAATATTATTATTATACAATAAACTTTGATTATTATGAATATAATCTAAAATATTTGTTAAAATATATAATTGTTATTCTTCTTGCTATTATTTTGGTCACTGACAATTATATTTGGTAAATAGTAAATAATCTGAGAAAGTAATTGTCCAGATAATTAATTAGTAAAAAATACTCTTGACCAATCACCACTCAAAGTTACTCAAACAAGAGTTCAATTATGATTTGAAATACTTACAATTGATTCTAATGATTCAATAAAATTTGTTTCTGAATATTTCAAGATTCCTAATATTAAGTATAGTAATAATGAATTGTTTTCAAATAAATTTTTGTGTTGACTCATTAATTTAATTATTAATGAAATGTCTCTTGCTGAATTTAATAAATAATCTAAAAAAAATATATATTTTTACTATTTATATAATTATTATTCATCAATTGATTTCCATTATTATTGACAGTTGACTCACACCTCTTATTATTATAATAATATCGGGCATACTGCAACAAAACCAGACAAAGTGAACATTTGTATTACCAATGATTTCAGGGATCAAAATTTAGTCATCAATATAATGTCCCATTTGTTTGTTATCTTTGTTTTCTTTTTTGTAGTATATAAATCATTCAAAGAGATAGTTGACTAATGATTTTTTATTTTAAATATTATAATAATTTTAAACAATAAAAATAAAACTATTATTCTCATTTCTTTTTTGTATTTCTTGTTGGTGACCTCTTTGTTTTCTTATCTTTAGTGACTGAGTGAACTTGTGATACTGAAGACATTTTCACAATCATCATCATTATTGAATTAAAAAATTCACCAAACCCCAAAGGATTTAACAAAATAGCTGTTAGATAGATCTTGATGTTTTAAATATTTTCAATGTGTAAAACAAAATTCACCAAGCAGTTATTAAAGCAATTCTCAAATTATAATATGCTAAATATGTAAGCAGAAGATCAAATGATTTTAGCAAATGGAGTTGATAAACTTCTTGTTTTTCCATCAAGTAAAGGGATATTGTTGTCATTTGAATCTGAATCATGACCAAAAAAAAATGCATCAGATCTTCATAACTAAAATCAAAGTAAAGACAATTGTCACCATTACTGCTATACCTTAATTCCAATAACATATAAATTTGAGCCATTGTTTTTGATTGTAGACTTCAATTGCAAATCATCTAAGATATCCTTCAACATCCTTGGGAAATGAAAATTATCAGAGGCAATTTTAGTAAGATCAGAATTGTGTGGACCTCCAGCTGCTAATGCACAAAAAATTTCATTTTTTTGATATAAGCAAAGTATATTAATATCAGCTTGATGGGCTCTTTCCACATGTTGAACTAATATATCTTTTATCTTGATTTCTTCTATGTTGTGTTGCAAGAACAGATACTTCACCTCCTAGTAAATAAATTATGAATCAAAAAATTATTGATGCTTGAAATACAAATTTATGGAGAAATGTAAATGTAAGTTTTCAACTTAACATGGCACCCTACACCTTCCATCTAATCTCAGAACCCATTGGATCAAAGGTACAATATAATCACCAAGGAATTCTCTTTCATGGCAGTCGCATTGTAGCAGAGGATTAATTGGCAACTCAAAAGCTTCTAAACTATGATAACAAAAATAAAACACTCAGATAATGTAACCACAATAATTTATCATGATAAACAAATTGCCCTATAACATATAATTTCCCATTACTTTTGTAATTTAATGTTGTATCTTGATCCAATCATTCATTGCATATGATAACTCTTCATTATACTCAGGTGCAACTACATCAAAAAATAGTATCACATTTTTCATGAGCTTGTATGATATTCATTCCCTAAGAATTCTGAAAGTTAACAATGATGTTCAGGTCAGAATTACACTTTCCATAACCAAAATATCCTTCACCTTTTCTCTAAATAAATGTTCTATGAGTGAGTTAATTTCATGATGAAAAGTCTTTTTCATAATACTACTCCTATCTGCTACAAGATCAGTCCATTCTTTTTCATTAAATATGTTACGAATTTTAGATGTTGGAGACAGGTCCAAAATATAATCATGAGCTGGGCTACAAAAGAAGTGTGAATTTCTAATAGTAGTAGTAGTAAAAAAGATGTGGTTCTCTTAATACAGTGATTTTCCAATATTGATGTCAAAATTGTCTTGTTAATAAAAATATATTCCAAATTTAATCAATCTTCTTATTTGTTATCATTATCATATTCATTACCCTATGTTAGTTCTTTCCCTCAAACAATAGTAATGATTATCACAAACGTTTTCTTTATTGTTTGTACTTTCCATTAAATTAAAATTACAAGTTAATTAGAATTTCAATCGCAATCACCATTTTTTAATTATATACTTGTTTCCTAATCAGTGGTAGTTTTCGAAGGCGTAAAACGTAAAATTTGTACCACAGTTTATCCTTGATTGGTAAACCGTAATAGCAACCAGTAAGGATTGTATATTGGATATTGGATTAATATTTAAGTCATATTTTGGTACGTGATTGACTGGGTAAGACAGGGATTACAGTTAAGAGATGTTCAACACTTATTTTTGATAAAGTATTTTAATTCAGACATGCGTGTATAAATAATTCGGTATTGTTTAAGTATGTAATAATAACAATATTATTTATTATAAATTAAGCAATAAATGTTTTCTCAGATAAAATCATTTTTTTCTATTATTGGTTTTTGGTTTTTTTGATGATTTTTGAGAATCAAAAAATTCATAATCTTCTTTCTGAAAATTTGTTCTTTCTCTTAAATGTTTTTTGAAATCATCATCACTTACAAAATTAATTTTATTTAAGAGATCCATTGATTGCTTTATCCTAAGCTGATAAAATAGTAAATCATAAGATAAGTTGTCTTGGTTGATAATCATATTACAATCTGTGAGAAAACATACCTTTGCAATCAAAACTTCATTAACCATCATAATTAATTCATCCACTTCTAGTAGAGTCAATGGTATTTTTGTTCTGCAAGAACTTCAAAGTCTGCAAACATAACTGGCTGGAACATCCATGACATGTATTTTAAGATATTGACATTAATCAATATGCATGAAAAATATGAGAAAATCATTTGATTGTAAAAGATATTTACCAGCATGGTGAAATCCAATTATTTCAATATGATTTTTTTTTACAAAATTAATTCCAACTTTACTAATTTTTTGTTGAATCATGTCTTTCATGATTTTTGGAGCCTTTAAGCCTCTATCCAACAAATATTTACTAGCTGTCTCTCCTTCCTAATTCTTTCCTTCTTTGCTTAATGCAAATTCATCAATTGATCCTAATACCCTACCTATCCCATCACATCTTCTTCCAAACTGCATTCTTATATTAGTGTTGTCTCTACTGTGATTTTTTCTCTCACTCGAAGCCCTTGAGCATCCCTCACCACTAAGGTTTCTGGTCCAAACTGTTTTCTCAAAGCCCAAACTAGTTTGGGCAATTTGGGCTTCTCAACATTTTCTA